GCCCCTGAGGAACGGGGCCAGGAGGAGGAGGAGGAGGACCAATGTGAGCCAACAACCCGTTAACGATTTTGCAAGCCCTCCCTGGAACTCCCATCTCCCTCTTGATAGGCCCCTACAAAGATCCATTTTCACAGGGGGAAGGGCCCCGTTGAAAAACAACCGTTTGAAAAACCTGAACTGGCTGAGAACACCGTTCCTGGGAGTTCAACGCCGGAGTCACCGATACAGTTGCGTCGTGACGATCCTGAATCGTACCAGAACATGATTTCTGGGACTTCAGCACGACGAATCAGTAACTGTTGCGCCCTGAGTCCGACATCACGCCAAAACACCTTTTTGGGTGTGTAAACCACAAGAAAAAGCTGTAAACTCTGACAACAAATGTGCGCGGCACTGAAACGAGAACCACATATTGAAAAGAAACCACCCTCCATCCGCAAAAATGTTGCACTTTTCCAGGACCGCATTTTGAAAACGGCCCTCCTTCTATCCGGGAAACTGTTGCAAAATGTCGAAACGAATGGGCGCAACGCTGAAGCGAGTGCCACATGTTGAAAACAGCCCGCCCTCCATCCGTGAAACTGCTTCAAACTCATACAAAACGAATACGCGCGGCGATGAGGCGAGAACAATTTTTTGAACACCTCCCGCTCTCCATCCACGAAGCTGCTGCACAAGCGCGGCGCTGAAAACCAGAACCACAATTTGAGAACCACCCGCCCTCCACCCGTGAAACTATTACAGACTTCAAGCTTCAGGATCATAAATTGTGGGGCTTCAGGACCATGAATGGCGAGGAAGTCGCAGGCGAAACGCCCGGCCCGACCTGTCGATCGGCCTCGTGGTGCGGCATGGAGGAATTATTTATCCGCCGCAGTGCCTCGAGGCATGAAGTGGAGTTACCCCCAGGCTCTCGTGTGTTCCCTGTTTTCAGTACTCAGGACCGGGGGATTATGGTATTCTAAACGCTCGGGCCCCAAATTCTTAAATTTCCTGGGCGCCCCCGCACACTCCTAGGCTGCCTCGCGTGACTTTTCCAGAGGCGACCACGAGCGTCCAAGAGGCCTCCAATACAGCCCAAGAGCGCTCCAAGACGCCCAAGGTGGCCCCAAGGCGGCTCAAGAGCGCTCCAAGAGGACCCCAAAGAGGGCCCAAAGAGGCGCAAAGCAATGATTGTCCTTGTGGTTTTCTATGCGCGTCGCGTTCTTGCGTTTTCTTTTCTGGGATCCGACGCTTTGAAATGGCCCTATAGAGGCCCCCCGAGACCGCCCCAAGACGGCCTAAGAGGCCACCAAGAGGGCCCCAAGACGGTCCAATAGGGCGCCAAAACGGCCCATGAGGCGCCCAACATCGCCCAAGAGGCCCCCAAGAGGGGGAACACGAACCGACAATTCGAGCCTTCTGCCCCGAGAGGCCCCCAGGAGACCCTAAGAAGCCCCCAAGAGAGCCTAAGAGGCTCCCTAGAGGCCCCTCGATGCCCGCAAGAGGCCCGAAAAGAGCTCCCAAGAGGCTTCAAAACTGCCTCCAAGAGGCCCCCGATAGGCCTCCCACGATACCAAAACGAACATCCAAGAGGCCTCTAATTCACAACCCAAGCACGGTGGCGGGATGGGCCGAAGGCCACTAGGAAAGGAAAGAGAATGGAGGAGGAGAGGAGGAGAAAGAGGAGAGGGAAGAGGAGAGAGGAGAGAGAGGCGACGGCGGGAGGAGGTGGACGAGGAGGGAGGGGAGGAGCGAGAGGGGGAGGAGCGAGAGGGGGAGGACGAGGAGGAGGAGGAGGAAAAAGGAGAGAGGAGAGTGGAGTGAGGAGGAGGAGGAGAAGGAGAGGAGGAGGAGAGAGGAGAGAGAGAGAGGAGAGAGGAGAGGAGAGGAGAGAGGAGAGAGGAGAGAGGAGAGAGGAGAGGGAGAGAGAGAGGAGAGAGGAGAGGAGAGAGGAGGAGGAGGAGGAGGAGGAGGAGGAGGAGGAGGAGGAGGAGGAGGAGGAGGAGGAGGCGGAGGAGGAGAGGAGGAGGAGGAGGAGGGAGAGAGGAGAGAGGAGAAAGGAGAGAGGAGAGAGGAGGAGAGGAGGAGGAGGAGAGGAGGAGAGGAGGAGGAGGAGGAGGAGGAGGAGGAGGAGAGGAGGAGGAGGACGAGGAGGAGGAGGAGGAAGGCGGGACAGGCCCAGGTCGCCCGCCGCCCCCCTCCCCCGCCGCATGGCGCAGGTCTCCCTCCCTCCCCCCTCTCTCTCTAGATCATATACACACAAATATTTGTTTTTTTTTGTTCTCTCTCCCTCGAGAGAGAGAGAGAGAGGAAAAAAGGAGAGAGAGAGAGAGAGAGAGCAAAACAAACAACATGTTGTTGTTGTGTTCTTTCGTGGTAGCTGCTGCTACCTGGTACCTGGGGGGAAAGGGTTTTAGGTCCCCGTGAACGGTAACGCCCAGGCGGAGTGGGGCGCGCTGGGGCGGGGGCGTGCTGCGATAGCCGTGTCATGCGCGCGAGCACCAGCATAAGGTGGCGGGGAGTCCAGGCCTCCCCCCCTCTGCGTACGATCGTTGCCGTTGCCAGGGGGGGGGAGCGGGAGGTCGGGCCGCCAGAAGATAGAATAGAAAAAATACAAATCCTCTCTCTCTCACTTTCCGCATTCTCGCGGCTCCGCCCCGGAGAGAGGGGGAGCTCTCTGCGGCCCTCCATTGGGAAGCGTGGCGCGCGGTCACAATGGCGCCCCTGCGGTTGACCTGTGCCTATGGGGGTGGTGGCGAAGACATCTCTTGCCTTCGCCATCATGGAAATGATCATCCGGATCATCAGGATCATCAGGATCATCAAGATCAACATCATCATGATCACCACGACCATCATCAAACACAGGATCACCAGCATCACCGGCATCAACGTCAGGATCATCGTCATCACCATGGTCATCGCCATGATCGTGATGATAATGTTGAGGATGGATATCCTCTTCGCCATCAAGATCAGCATCAAATCAACATCATCAGCATCATCACCATCACCATCACCATCACCATCACAGTCACCATCACCATCACCGTCATCACCATCACCATCACCATCATCATGATATCATGATCATTCACATGGTCATCACACCATCATCGTCATCAGCATCAGCACCATCATGACCACCAGCAACATCAACATCATCAACATGATCATCAGGAACATCATCATCAACATCAACAACATCATCATCATCATCATCATCATCATCATCATCATCATCATCATCATAATCATCATCACCATCACCATCACCATCACCATCATCATCATCATCATCATCATCATCATCATCATCATCATCACGTCACCATCTCAGCGCTCACGATGCCAGGCTCATTCTGCTCATCCGCGCCAAAGCCAGAAGAACATATCCGCGCGACCGGCGCGGGCAGCACAGCTCCGGTGGCGCCCCGACTCGGAGCCCGTGCCCAACTATGCCCAGAACGGCACGTGGTGGGTTCCACAGACCCTTGGGTGATCCAAGAACACATGCAAGGGCGCCTAACGTCGCGGTTCGCGCGGCGCGAAATGCGAACGCTTTCGCGCTCTAGCGCCGCCCCACAAGGGAGAAGAGGAGGATGAGAAGGCACCGGAGCCGAACCGCAAAGCTCGGAGCGCGCAAACTTCGCGCCCTCGAAGGTGCCCTTGGAATGCACCTCGTGGGAGGGCCACTTGTACATCTAACAGCTTCCGCCGGCCTGCCTCCAACATCCTTCGACGGAGGCGGCCTGGCGTTGCCTTCGCCAGCCGCCCTTCCGTCGCCTCGCGCCGAGGAAGAGATGCCAACCTCTCGATCCCTCGAAGATCAAGCCCTCTCTGGAGCTTCCCACGGCGAGGATCTCGCGGACGAGCGAGGGACGCCTCTTTCTTTCCAACGCAGAGGGCCCCTGCCTCGACAAGGGGCCCACAGAGGGGCACGGTGGAGAGCCCACTTCACCCCGAATGCTGCCAGAACCATACCTTGACGCACCGCGACGAAGCTAGAAGCCTCCTAGCTGGGGTCGGAGGATCGCGCCGCATCGGCGATGCACGACGTGGGCGCTGCATCGGCGACGTCGACGTGAAGCAAATCGGGCTCCACATCGAGCCGCATCGGCGATGCGGCACGATCCTCCGACCCCATCTGGTCCGACCCCATCTATCGGCGGTGGAAAAACCTCCCTTTAGTAGACCTCCCCTTAGCGAAAACGGCCTGGGACCGAAACCGACGGACCTGGACCCGCAAAAATGACGGCCGCGACGTCCTCTCGCGAAACGAAAACGGCCGATTCCTCAATCGACGTGTCAGGGTAGGAGGTCTGTCCACCCCCGAATCTAGGAGGCCTAGGAAATCATATCGATGAAGCACGTCGCAGCACAGACGACGACGCCAAGCGCTGCCGCACCTCTCGGGATCCGACGCCGGGCTTTTGGTTGGCCACTGGGCGTCGCCAGAGGCCGCCGCGGCGCCGATCCTGAAGCCCGACTCTCACAGTGGAGGCCCGACCTTAGTGGGCTCTGGAAATGACAAGGCCGTTTGTTTACCGATTCCGTTTTGCCGTTTTTTTGCCGGTTCCGACGCCGTTCTTTCACCGGTTCCGTCGCCGTTTCTTGACCGGTTCCGGCTCCGGTTCCAATCCTGGAGCCGTTTTTGTTACCGTTTCCGGTCGCCGTTGTCTTGCCGTTTCCATTTTCAAGGGACATTTTTTTGGAAACGATGAAAAAACGGCCCTGCCGTTTCCGGGGCCCACAAAGAGCCCGACCACAAAACACCCTCCACAAGAGACCCAACCCTGAGACCCCAGGACGTCCATGGATTGCTGCTGTGGGAACGTCACACCGACACCGCCCACAATAGAACACCAGATCGTAACCCCAGAGACCCAGGAACTGAATGGAGGCAGGCAGGGTGCTTCTTGGCAGGGGCCTCCACTCCACTGTAGGGGGAGGGCAGGGACGAGAAGTCGGCGGCGCACCGAGGGGAGGACAATGAGAGGGCGCAGGTCTTCTCAGAAGGCGACACGGCCTCCCGGAAGCCTTCCGAGAGGCACCACCCCCTCTACAATCCCCACTGGGCCGCCGAGGGAGGGCGGAGGGAGGAGAACTCGCACCGCCCGGGAGGGGGAGGAGGGAGGTGTCCCGAAGCAGCGCCACGGGCCGCTCTCTCGTGTGGCATCCTGCCCAGAAGGAAACGCTGACAGAGAAACGAATGGGTCTTTTGTCATGGCCACGGCGAGCCTCTTGCCACCGAAGAGAGGCTCCCCGACCCAGCTCCGAAGACGCGGTCCGGAAACCAAAGCGCCTCCGGGGACGCAAGAGGTGGTCCATGCCGTCGCTTGGCTGTAACCGCACGCACGTCTCGAGAACCCAAGGTGGTCCATGCCGTCGTGGCTCTGACCGCACCCGCGTCTCGAGAACCCAAGGTGGTCCAGGTCGTCGTGGCTGTGACCGCACGCGCGTCTCGAGACCCCAAGGTGGTCCAGGTCGTCGTGGCTGTGACCGCACGCGCGTCTGGAGAACCCGCTTCCGCGACGTGCCTTCGGAAGAGTGGGGGGGGGGGGGCGACCGCGTGTTCCCCTCGACTCTGAGCAGGACAAGCGGCCATCCCCACCCTTCGAGCCCGCTTCCTGGGATGTAGATGCCAGGGGCCGATTTCCTAGACGAAAACCATTGACGCGGCGATGGCGATGCGATGCCTTCTCATCCCCTGTGCCGCGGATAGCCTGGAGCGCTCTGCGGAACCAGAATGCGGCCTCGCTGTTGCCGCCAGTCTCGATGTGGACGGTGCCGCAGCCTCGCTGAGGCCCAGAGGCTGAGAGGAAAGAAAAGTGGAGGAACTCCCTCCCCCCCCCGACTTTCCTCCCCCTGTCGGTTGCCATCCATCCCCTCCATCTCCCCGCTCCACCCATCGCCCTTGATGAATCCTCCCCTTCCCACCTCCCCCGCCACTCCTCTTATGTCACCTGACCCGTCCTCTGCCCCCCATCCTCTCCTGCGCTAATGCACCTTCACTCTTCACCTGCCTCATCTCACGTTTCGCCCTCGTCCGCAGGGGCAGCCATGTTCGCGCTTCGCGCGGATCAAGACGCGAATCGCCTCGCGCTCTCGCGCCGCCTCCATCGGGGGAGAACGGAAGGCCGCGAGGGATGAGGATGAGGACCTCGCGACCCGCGAGCCGCCAGCCGCAGACAACGTGGCGCCCGCGTGGCGGCCCTTGCGCCATCCTTCTCTCCCCGCCCCCCCCCTCAGCTGCTCCCCCCATTGCCCCACTGAAGGGGCCCAGGGACGCACAAATGAAAAGGCAAAACTCCCAGGATTCCCAGTTGTTCCCAAGACTTCCTGGTGCTCGCCCCCCCCCCACGTCATTTATTTACCCACATTCGAATGGAATATATGATACATTGTCTGTGTGGTTTTCTCGGCAAGCGAGGAGCGGAAGTGAAAGGTCAGAAGGATCGAAGTCCCCGGGCCTTGTGGAAAGTGTTTTAAGCCTTCCCGACGGCAGCAAAATTTTCAGACGGCGCGAGGAACCCCGCCGCCTTCTGAGAGGGCCTTCTCCTTCTCAGGCCCCCCCTCGCTCGCAGCGGCCTTGTCTTCCTGACTCGCCTCGCGAACCTCGGCCATCCACACGTCCAAAGACCCGACCGCCGCCGTCGGAGCTCTCGGGGATCTCCTGACCCGGGCATATCCAAACACGGGCCAGTCAGGCCTTAAGACGACGCCAGGATCTGGGCATTGTTTGACCGGGATAAAAATCATGCTCGGTTTTTCAAATCTCCGGGGGCGCCGCCGAATGGGCCTGCCACGCCTTGGGCGCCATCGGCTTCGCGAGCGAGGAAATGCGCCCAGGCGCGGATGAGGCCACGGCGCGTATTTGGCCACGCGCGCGCCTGAGGGAATTCTGCGCCAATCGCGCCTCGCTCCAGAAAACCCGACGTTAACAAAACAGAATTGAGGCCCCAAGGGGGGCCCAAGGAGGCGGACCGCCAAACCAGTCACGCAACCAACGCAACGAAAAACACGCAAATGTCAAAAAGCGTGTTACTCAGTGACCTCTTCGGCCGTGCAACACCGCGATAATGCCCGAGAAGGCATTGGAAAAAAGGCCCGCGCGCGGCCCGGCGACGTCCCCGCGCCGCCCCAAGCGCCCCGAAGCGCGCCGAAATAACCGTAGAGAAACGCCGGAAAGTCTCTGGAAGGTCCCCGCGCCAGGCAAGATCCGCCACCGAATACTTTCGCGGACACCTAGCGCGTACGCGCGGGCGTCCACCATGAATGCCCGACTCCTGTTTCCGAGACAATCGCGCGCAACCGCCCGGGGGCCTCGGCAACCTCGCGATTGGCCCCGGGGCCCGCGGGCCCCAGGGAATCGAGGAGCGAGTTCGCAACTCCCGAAGCACCAGGCGCGGCGCCAGCCGGTCGCTCGTCTCTGGCTGACAATAGGACGCCTGGAATTCCGGTAAAACCTGAGGAACCGCTTTTCAAAGATTCACAGAACCAGACACCGGGGCGCGCCAAATTCTCGCGTCCGAACTTCTTTGAGAATCTCTGAAAATCTCTGAGCTAGCCGCCCCGCCTGAAACATTCCCATCAACCCAAAACCCCGGAGCTGGCCGAAACTCTATGAAAGTTTTTCGGTCCGCAAAATTTGGCGCGCCTGGATTTCTGGTTCCGAGATTCTCTGAAATCGGCCTGCGGCGGCGCCCAGCAGGTCCACCCGCGCCCAGGGTGGGGGCCGTGGACATCGCGGGCCGCGATGGCCCCGACCACGAGGTCCTTCCCCCTGCCCCTCGACGAGCCCACGCCCATAGACACGCTCTCTGTGCTGAGCGTGGACCGCGCCATCCTCTGGTACTTCTGCGCGACGACAGCCAACTGGCCGCCGACGGACAAAGCGATTTTTTATCCGAGCTGCGCGTGCCACCGAAAACGTACGATTGCCCCGGGCTCGGGGAGAAACACTTTCGAAGCACTTTCAGGCCGCCAGCGTCGCGGCTGCCGACCCGCCGCGCGCCGGCCGCGAGACTAGCTGGGCCCGCTACGTCGACGGCGGCGGGCGGGCGCCCAAGAGAGCTGTCGCCACGGTGCGCGCGGCGGAGCGCCCGCCCCACTGCAACCGCAAATGTGGCCTCCATAGCGCCAAAGGCGTAACATGCGCGACGCATTCTCGGGCCCCCATCAACGCATCGGCCAGCGCCCAAGCCCCTGAAACGCAACCCTACTGCGCCCCCCGTGCAAGCCGCGCACCCGCTCCCAATGCTCGTGCGAACCAGTTTTTCTGCCCGCCCTCAACAGTTCAATCGAGCGCCCATGTGTTACCTGGGCTCCTCAAACCCCCGAGCATTCCTTGGGGAACTTCTGCGAATGCGCGCGCTACGCTCCACAAATCGGCGTTCTATTTTTCTCTGGAACACTCCCAGAATCTCTGGTTCCGATTTGTCCCGATCTTCCGCTCAACTGAGCCCTGCAGAAATCCTGCAAAAATCCTGCAAGATCCTGCACCCAAACCCGGGTCAATGCGACCCTGGCCCTAGAGCGTCCCACGAGGGCCCCAAGAGGCGGTTTGCCTCCTCCTCCTCCTCCTCCTCGTCCTCCTCGTCCTCCTCCTCCTCGTCCTCCTCCTCCTCGTCGTCCTCCTCCTCCTCCTCCTCCTCCTCCTCCTCCTCCTCCTCCCCTCGCCCCTTGCAGGGTCTGCAGGACCCTGCAGGATCGGGCGCCCTGGCCCACCGCCCGCCTCGAGGCCCCCCGAAGCTCCTCCGAAGCCGGGCAGGCGGCCGCTCCGAGCCGAAGGTAGGCAAGTCCCCCCCCACCCTCGCAGCAGGAGAGCGGGCACCGAGCGCACCCCTGGCGTCGACAGCAAGGCACGGCTTGCCGGCAGGCCCTCCTGTGGGAACAGAGAGGCTGTAATCGGGCGGGTGCGAACGCGGGGTGACCCCGATGGGGGGTGCAGAGTACACCAAGAGTAAGTCCCCAATCAGAGGATGGTTTGAAAATTAGGGGGGTGGCCCAGATGGGGGTGAAGAAAGGGGCCCTGAAGGGGGCCCCCTGCTGGTTCCACGAGGGGCCCCAAAAAGCACGTTTGAGGGCCTTTCTTCACAAACACCGTTCGGGTCACACCCCCCGTCAACACCCCCCCGGCAACAACAACTGTGAGGATTGTCGGTGCCACCTGGCATCTGGTTCCGAAAGGCCAGCAGCAGATTCCGATCCTATTCCAGACAGAAGCGGCCGTCGGCGCCCATCAGCAGAGATCCCTGAGAATGGCGGGGGAAGTCGCTGGCACCCAGTGGAGGGTCGACGCCTCCCCGTCCAAATGGTGCCCTCGATCGCAGATTGATCGGATCGTTTGCAGAACCGAATCGATCAAAGTCGAAACCCCATTGGCATTGGCCGCGGCTGGCCAAAGCTGGCACGTGGAACTCGTCAGGCACACTAGTTATACTCGGCAGATTGTTGGGCTACGCTGATGAAGAGGCATGTCAGCCAAAGTTCAGTGAGTTATTGCATTGATGAGGTTGATTATACGTTGTGTGAGCGATGAGGTATAAGCTATGTTGTGCAAGGTCTGTGGTATAAGCTATGTCCTACGGACAATGTGGTGTGAACTACATTCCCCCAGCCTGTGCTTGTACATAAGGATTTTTAGCGTGTGTTCTAACAAATGGGCCTGCCTGCCGCTCTGGTGGCTAGGTAGCCGCCGCCGCCGCCGCCCCGTCGCCGCCTCGTCGACGCCCGTCGTCTGGGCCTCCCTGCCGCTCTGGCGGCTAGGTCGCCGCCGTCGCCGCCTCGTCGCCGCCCGTCGTCTGGGTCTGCCTGCCGCTCTGGCGGCTAGGTCGCCACTGTCGCCGCCACGTCGCAGCCCGTCGCGGACGTAAGAATGCACCACAGACATTGCAGTACATATATCTAAATAAATATACATACACATACATACATACACAAACATATACATCGTTGCAGAGTGTACCACATCACTCGCAATCTCTCAATGTGTATATATGTACATGTATTTAGATGTGTGGGTTGGACACCAAATGGTGCTCCACATAGATAGCACAACATATATTACAAACCAGCACCACATGTATTGCACCACGCAAACTGCACAACATAGATTGCACCTCGTGAACTGCACTACATGGATTGCACGGCGTACGCTGCGCCACACAGTTTGGACACCACATATTGCACCACATATATTGCACCACATAGATCGGTCAACCGATGCCCCCTATGGAGTGCACAGCATAGTTTGCACCACATATCTTGCATCATGTATATACGGATCTATACACATCACCACATATATTGCACACGCTATACCTATTGCAAGATAGGTTGCACCACCTATACCGCACAATGAATATTGCAACATAGATCTTGCCCCAACTATATGACACGAAAAAGCGCACCCCATCTATTGCACCACAGCTATTGCACCACATAGATGACACAGCACACATGTCACCGCATAGCTTGTACCACATGCATTGCACAAGGTATAGTGTTCCACACGGATGGCACAACATATCTCGAAGATCACTGCGTGGGGTCCACGCTGGCTAACATTGTGCAATCCATGCGGTGAGCGCTGCATTGTGGAAGCTCTGTGATGTAAGCTGCAGGGCGTGAGTCATGTTGTGTCATGGATGTGTGGCGTGTGTGAGCTGTGTGGTGAACACTGCGCAGCGGCAGCTGTGTGGTGAGAGCTAGGTGTTGAAAGCTACGTGATGTGAGCTACGCCGTGCAAGCCCGGGCGCCCAACGCGGCGAACCACGAGGCGCTCACGAGCGTGCACGGGCGCACGCGACGAACCCTCGGGAAACCCGCCCGGCGCACGGGGCGCCCACCAAAGCACCCACGAACCGGCACGGGCGCAGCCGCGGGGAACGCCCAGGGAAGGCACCCCTTCGCATCGGGGGAGCCAAGCAGGAAGCCCTGCGTGCAGGCGCTGTCCGTGGAACACTGCACGGACGACTGGAGCGTGGCGAACCCTCCGGACACCCCTGCGGGCGGCAACGGGCCAGAAGGGGGCGAATCCTCTGGACCTCTGGACCTGGCTGACACCACATCGGCACTGGCCTGTGGACCTGGCATCACAGCCCCTGGACACTGGCATCGCACTCTGTGGAATACGGCCCTCGCCCGTGGACCTGACATCACATCGACAGCCTCGGGACACTGACACCACATCCTCTGGACCCGTGGACCTGTGTGCTGTGGCAGCGGCCGCAGCTGCACAGAACGCGGCGAACCCTCGGGACACCCCCACGGACGGCAACGGCCGGCAACGCGGGCGCCCACGTGGCGAAGACCCGGGACACCCCCACAGGGTGGCAACGGGGCGGCAACGGGGCGGCAGTGGTCAGAAAGGTACGATTCCTCGGGACACCCATGAGAAGCCTTGAGTGCAAGAACTGTTTTGGGAACCACAGCTCGAATCCAATCCCTCAGAAACGCAGGTGAGACGCCCTAGGTGCAAGACCTGTTTCGGCAACCACAGCTCGAAGAGCCCATCGGCGGAGTCGGGGAATCGCCCGGGGGACGCCATCCGACCGCGGCCTCGCCCAGGCACGGGCACGCACCTTCGCATCGATCGAGATCGTGAGCAGCGCCCAGGCCCCCAGGACCACGACCTGGCCCACAGGATTCCAGACCAGGGCAGCAGCACCGCCATCCTGAGGCTCCCCCCGAGAGCCGCTGGACGAAGCTGGAGCTCCAGAGACTTCCTCGGAGGTCTCCAGAAGCGTCCGACGCATCACACCACCCAAACACTTTGCAGCTTCAGAGCATTCATGGAGGCCGCCCAGGTGGGGTCCGAGTAGAGACGGCTGGAGGATGGCGCCGCACCATCGATGTATCGGCATCGGCGTCGGCGGGGTGGAGAGAATCGGGCTCCGAATCGAGCCGCATCGCGGATGCACTGGCAGTGCAGCGTAATTACTCGGACCGCATCTGGGCGGGCTGGAGTTCGACCTCCTTCGATCACTTCCCTCTCCCCACCTCCTCCCCCCTCTGCCACCCGTTGCTACAGGAGCCTGCCAGGGCAGAAAAATTGTTGGCATTCAGCGCGAGGGCCGCCTCGAAGTCCTCTGTGCATGAGGGCACCGAGTGCAGCACCACGACCGCCCCCCGCTCTCCCGCGGATCCCTGACAAACGTTCATGTGTGCCTGTGTGTATATGTCCATCCCGAATAAAGAACAGAGAAAAGAAAGGATTACCAGAGGTACCGGCAGGTCCGAGCGAGAGGAACAAGCTGCACCCGCGGCAGAGGCGCCTCTACTACCTCCTCCATGCATCCTCTTCCCCCTCTCCTCAATCCTCCTTTTCTACCGCTTCTTCCTCTACCATCTACTCGCTCGTCCTTCCGACAGAACCTCGAGACCGAAGGCGAAACAAATCTCCGAAGACAGCACCATGAAACCCGAGTGCGGTGACCGGCATCTCATAACCCCGACCAGAAAGCCCGAGGAGATCCAGCATCCCCTGCTCCGCTCGACGACTCCTCTTACGCTGAAAGTCCTCCGCCTCCGGCGCGCTGCTCCGCCCTGGCGAATGCTGGACTGTCAATACTTCGCTGTCCTGGGGCTTTGCCGTGCTCGTGCTCGCTGGAGCTTTTCGCACGTGCGCGGAGCTGCTCTGCCAATGCCACTCTGTCCAACGGCGTTTGCCGCGCTCCTGCCCTGAACGTAAACCGCTTGAGGCGGCGGAGAGCTTGAGAGATACATCCGACAAACAATTACCCGAGACGCACAACATCCCTTTTCAAGCGAGGCGGCTATTCATATCAACGCTCCATACACAAGAACACATTTCGAGATATGCCGCACTCTGACCAAAGTGAGGCACGGGGACAGAGGGCAGTAGAAGAAGCGAGGAGACAAGGCAGGAGGCAAGAGGAGGGGGAGAAGGAAGATGGAGACCGCCGTGCTTCATTCAAAGGGGGAACTTCCGTATGATGGATCTGCCGCCACGATCTGCCCTATGCGAGCACCCCCGCCTGGGAGCGCGCCAGAGCGTTGCACCAGCACCGATCCTGGCCAGGCCGATTCTGGGCCGAAGCTCGGTGTACTATGCGCCCCCCACTGCCGGAGCCAGGAGGGCCTGTTGAGGCCTCCTAGATGGGGTCGGAGTAGATGGGGTCGGAGGATCGCGCCGCATCGCCGATACATCGGCGATGCATCTGGCGACGTCGGCGGTGCCTCGGCGACGTCGGCGTGGGGAACGTTGGGCCCCACATCGAGCCGCATCGCTGATGCATCGCCGATGCATCGGCGATGCGGCGCGATTCTCCGACCCCATCTACTCCGACCCCATCTAAAAGGCCTAGATTGTAGGCTCGGACGTTGGCAACAACTGCAACGAAGACGAACCCAGGACGAGGATAACGTCAGGTGAGGATAAATCGAGAATCTCTGAGATATGGCGGCTTTGGAAGATGTATCGGGCGTCGCGGCCTTCTCAGAGCGTCCAAGAACGCTCTGGGAGCGTTCCGGAACCCTCTTGAACGGATTATCCTCGTCCTAGCCCCGTCCGACCAACTCAGGGGGTTGCCTCCTCCGGGGGAATATAATCCCAGATCTTGGTGCTGTTGGAACCTTTCGGCCACCTAGGAGGCCCAGAAGTAACCATCGTCACCGAGGCGGGGTCATCTTACCTCGGAGGAGTGAGGCGCTCTCATCGCCTGCGACCTCCAGCCTGCCGCCGCTGTTGCCTACGCCTGCTCCTGTTGCTTCCAGCCCCTGGCATTGCGCCTCCGGGAGGGAGGGTCCGTCCTCGAGCGCCTTCTCGAACTCGTCGTCGCTGCCGCGGCTGGCCAGCGCAAGGCGGGCCGCGCCGCGGCATCTCAGCGCCTCCCCCTCGCGGCCCAACGCCTTCCCCCTCGGTCCCGACCCTCCTGCTCATCCTCCTGTCCTCCTCCTCCTCCTCCTCCTTCTCCTTCTCCTCCTCCTCCTCCTCCTCCTCCTCCTCCTCCTCCTCCTCCTCCAGCCCCTCGGAGGTCTGCGCCTCCCGCTTCCCCGATCATCGATCCTGCTCCTCCTCCTCCTCCTCCTCCTTTGTCTTCTTCTCTTTCTCCTCCCTCCGACGCCTCCCAACGAATACCCCCTAGGAAGCAAGTGGCCGTCAGCCTAACTGACAAAACAAAAAAAACGGGCTCTGAACACGATCCGAATTTGCAAATCTGTCTACATGCGAGGTGCCACAATTACCCCTAGGACGATATACTGCAACAACAAAGAAACCGCTCGTTGCGAAGTCATACGAACTCCCTTGAGAAATATTGTCGCAAAGAGGTCAACGCTTTCCCTTCGGAAACACATGGTCTTGCCCTATTCGCCCTGGGACTCTTACCGACCGGCTTTGCCGTACAAGCCCAATTTGACTCGTTCGGACGTCCAAGGTGTGAGCCACAACAAGATGTCGCACCAAGACGAGCGCATCTTTAGCACGAATAGCAACAACTTTCAATGGTTCCCTATCCAGAATTGATGACAACATTTGAGGATTGATGGTAACATGTGATAAACATGCTCTCGATGCAGAATTGATGGCAACAGTCGACGGGAACCTGGGATCAGTTTAACTACTAGCATGCGCGCATGGGTAACGTCAGGAAACGACAACACTAAACATTCATTATATATGGGGAATCCAATGGAGTACTACCGCCCATGGGCAGAGCTACGTATCGAAGAATTACCCCAGTCAGGCCCCCCCGACAACTCTCCCAGCCAAGGAAGTGCGCATCAGAAACGAGGTGGCACGCTCAGAATTAGCTTCCTGGCAGATGCACTGGCAGCCGCATGATCACCGAACGCGGCTGGCAGCAAGACTGGCAGCTGCATGATCGCCGAACTTGAGCCAACACACTTGGAATGGGCGCCCTGGCAATATACGCAGTGTTCAGAGCGCGGATCAGTTGGCTGCTGGCAACGCTGGTAATTTGATGCGCCGTTCCTGCACGCCAGCACACTCGGCGTGAGCGTCCTGACGACAGCAACGAAGGCAACGCAAAATGCACTGGAAACGGGCCGCCACGTTCCCAAACTCACTGGGGGGCACTGGAATGACAAGGGAGCGGCACGGACGGTCTTAATCCTAAGCCTGGTGCAGGAAAGAACTTCGCACTGCAATGAGCGCTTGAAGCAAGCCAGCACGCTCGGACTGAGCTTGCTGGCATGGCAGCTCCGCTGGCAGTGAAATAATCGCAAAACGAACACCCTGGGACGATCCTTGCAACCCTTGCTGGCGCAACGAAATGCGCCGCGCAAACCAGCACAGTCGAACAACAACTTAGCCTACATTCCCTCTCCTGTTCTCCTTCCTCGCGCTCCTCCCTTTTATCCTCATCGTCCTCCTCGTCCTTTTCCTTCTCGAAGTTCTCCTGCTCCTCCTCCTCCTCCTCCTCCTCCTCCTCTTCCTCCTCCCTTCTCTTCTGATAATTCTTCCCCGCCGCGTTTTCCTCCGAGGATAATAATGCAGCGGATGGGGTAGAGGAGCGGCAAAGGAAGAATACCCAGGGGTGGAGCAGGCAAGGGTGGACGTTGAGCCCAACCACCCCCGCACCGCCTTTGAAAGATGACGAGGGGAAGGAGCCACGGAGAGGGGTAACGCGAAGAGTGGGAGGGGACGAGAACCAGGAGAATGTAGATGTTTCTGGCCCCCTACGTGGAGGCTCAGGACCGTGATGCTGAAGGCTGGCGAAATTGAGGCTGACCTGGAACAGATAATACATTCTGCCAACGGTTGGGCATGGCTCGAGCTAAACAGTGTGTTTCATGTTCGTGTTGTTATGTTCCTTTGTTCTGTCTTTGCTCTGCCTCTGCTGCGAAGCGGAATCGGAACGAACACGGCCAAAACGGCATCGCCAACACGCAGGTCAGCTCGAGCCCTGCGACTGGGCCTCCAACAGGACCTGCGTCACCCCAGGAAGGGCCACAGGCCTCACCCGCGCGCTCCACGAGGGAGGAGGGCTGCCGGAGGAGCGAGGGCGCTCTCCCGGGAGGGCCCGCAGGGACTGCGCGCGAGCGGGGCCAAGCGCGGTGGAGCGCCAGCGGGAGGTGCCGATGCGCAAGGACCTGCGCAGCTCGAGCGGAACCCGTCCGTCCGGAAGCCCGCGTGTGGAGCACCGCGCGTCCAGTCTCGCGCGGGCCCGTCTGCGTGCGAGCCCCATGCGCACGGACACCGGCGTGCGGAACTGAGTGTCTGGGGGAAATGCCCGCCGCCAACCTCCTCTCTATAAGCATCAATGTGATGGGGCAAAGTGTCTTCCAGTCCCTGGATGCGTTTTGGTAATTCTTATGCATTTCTTTTTCTTGCGCGCGCGATGATGAGACTGGGCTGACATTGCACGCTGGCCAATGCACAACTGCACAAGACGATACGGCAGGAAACAACTCCCAGCAACGTCTCATAGAATTTGGATGCGTGCTGGTTCTGGAACTCTCACTTTTACTGGACGATGATGATTCACCCCCACACTGGATTTACGGTTCACGTTGGCAAATAATGAACTTCCTTGTGACTCGGCGTGCCAGGCGATACTCCCCAATCTGCGCGCAACTCGGTGGCTACATCCGAACCCGGCCCCCACCAACCATCGATTCTCCCGAATCGATGGCAGGCGGGGGTAGGGCTCGGATTTCGCCACGTGTTCGACGAATTCCGAACCCCACCCCCCGCCGCCCATCGGGTTGTCTAAAACATTTGGTCGGCGAGGGCAGGGCTCGGATTCCGCCGCCGAACAATGGCGGCCCGGGGCCCAAAACCCAAGCGGCCCGGGGGCCTGGCGGGGAAAGAACCCCCGGGCGCACTGCGAGCGAAACCCCGGGACAGGCTCCCCTCGTGGCCCGCTCGCTGCCTCGGTGGCCTCGATTCCGGAATTGGGCGGGGCCAGAGGAGGCCCTCCTCCGATCGATGATCAAGGACCTCGCCATCGCTCGGACGTCCATTCCCTGTGCTTTTTCTCGGTTTCGTGAGTGGTTTTTGCGCCAAATAATCAAGGATGCTCCTCGACGGTCCTCGCCGAAGGAAAAATGCACACGTCCGAGCGATGCCAAGGGACAAAGCCCCCCTGAGGTCGAGCACCCCCCCCCCCGCGCCGCGGTCCTCCGCGAAGCCCGGCGACGCGCTCACCGCTCCGGTGAACGCGAGGACGGCGTCCTCGTAGAGGCCCTGCTGCGGCCGCTCCCGGGGAGCGCACGGCGTGCTCGCACGGTGGTGGCTCGGCGTCGCCGGGAAGGGCTCGCGTACTCTTTTTTTCTGAGCCGCTCGACGCGGCAAGCTCCCACGCCCCAGCGCCTTACTCGTCTGGCCTGTCCCCCTACAGGGGGATGTTCGACGAAATAAAAAAATACCCCAACTATAATCGAAACATAGCCCAAAGATAGTCTGGGGACTGCTTTGGGGGTATTCTTTTGACCTCTTCGGGGTACTCTTTGGGTATGTTTTTTTCCATTTTTCGTAAAAGAAATCCCCATGTAGGGGGACACGCCCGACATAACCCTACTCTGCCCTGGGGCCCCCGAACGGATCAAGAACTGCTGCTCTTCCCTCCCTCCCCGCCTCCCGTTCTCCGCCGCAGCCGGCCTTGCCGCGGCAGCGCTTTTTCGGTCCCAGTGCCCCGACCGCGGCGACGCCAAGGGCAGGACGACGCCGACGACGACAACGACAACGATGACGACGACTAGGGAGGGCGAGGACGCGAACGACGGCGACGGCTCAGCAGACGAGCCAGACCGGCCAGCCAGACCCGCCAGGCAGACACCGACCGGAACAGCCGGAGCGCGCGCGCGGCTGCATGCCCCGAGGGCTCGGCGGTGACGCGACGGGCTCCTCCTCGCAAGCTGGCGCTCCGCGGGCCTTGCGCATTCAAGCATTCCGTCCTGTGCTCATGATACCCACCGGTCGGTAGAAGCAGGTAGAACCATGAAAAGAAAGGCGTTGAAATTTGATTGAGCGTCCGCCCGCCCCCCAACGTGGACGGAAAAGGTGGAGCCACTCGAGCCTTGAGGTAGGAAGGCGCTCAAAATAGATTGGAATCTGGGACTCCAAAAAAATAGTTACTTTCAACGACCGATGGGTATGGTTTCTGCTGATGCCATCTCAGGTAACGGTAAGCGCATGGGCAAGGCCGCACATGTCGGGGCGGGGATGCACCGCGATCGCCATGGTGTGTGCGCGCGAACACCAGCATCTGGGAGGTGAGGTCCCGCCCCCTCCCCCTTCGGACGCTCGTCCCCGTCCCCCATGGGGGTGAGTGGGGGACGTGGGGGATCGCCTCCGTGCGCGCGAGCACCAGTATCTGGGAGGGGAGGTCCAGCCCCCCCCCTTTCGGGGGTGCGCAAACATGGATTAGCGATCCATGGATTTGGCGCGCGGCCGCCAAATCCATGAATCGGGGAAGGCGCCCTCCCAAAATGCGGCCGGTGCCGCCTCGCCCGGCGGCGGAAATCTGCGATTTCCCATAGAAACGGGACGCGTCGCTAATCCGCGCCCCCTTGATCCATGTTTGCGATCGCCTGACTCTTCGGACGATCGTCCCCGTCCCCCCCGTGGGGTGGGTGGGGGACCTGGCCCCCTGGCATCGACCGCGCCGCGCCAACGAGGACACGCAGAACTCTCCGCCCTGGGCCCGTGAGAGCGCACCCAAGTGCAGAGGCTCCTTGTGCCCAGGCTCGGGCCCGCCAGAGGGAGGCCTCGGAGCACGGGGCCTGCAACAAAACAACCCACGGCACGACATCCGCCGACCCCGGCGGCGCGTGTGAGGGGCTTGGCTGCTCGAGTCGTCGTCTCGATCAGTCGTCGTCGCCGTCGTCCCCTTTCCCTGCACCCTCCTCCTCGAGCTTGTCAGCGAGAGAAACATCCAGCAATGTCCCAATCGAGCCGAAGGGAGGCCCCTTCCCGTTGATCCCTTCCCCGCGCCGGTGGGGGGGGGGTCCCGGGGGGGGGCTGATCGCCACCCAGACACGCTTTCCCCCCTGGGCCCTGGGGGCCCTGGGACGTCAGAAAGTACCAAGACAGGCCAAGAGTGTCCCAAGAGGCCGCCGAGACGGTCCCAGAGGGTCCCTAGTCGCCAAACGATCGGTCCAAAACGCCTTCACGTCCTGCAGACTGCCCAGGAGGTCTCCAGGACGCCACAAGACGCCTCCACGAGCACTCCCGAGAAGGCCCCACGAGTCCAAATTCACTGATTTGGCGCTGGGTGTTTGAAGATTTGGGCGCGTTCTCGCCTTTCCCAATTCCCGCCGCTCCATAACTGCGGCAGAGGCTCCCAAGATCTCCCCAAGACTGCCCAAGAGGCCTCCAAGAAGGCCCCAAACCAACGCAAGAGGACCCCCAAACAGCCCAAAACGCATCTAAGACGGCCTCAAATGCCCCCAAGGCGGCTCCAAGAGCGTGCCCAGACGTGGACCCGAACGGACATTTCGAGCCCGCGGCCCCAAGAGGCTCCCAGGAGGTCCCTAGAGGCTCCCCGGAGGCCCACAACAGGTCCCAAGGAAGCCCGAAGAGGCCCCTAAGAGGCTCCCAAGAGGCCCCCAAGAGGCTCCCAAGAGGCCCCATAATTCCTCCCCGGAGACCCCCGAGAGACTTCCGAAGAGACCCCAAGAATCATCCCTGAGGACTCTGGCCCACGTCCGCGTCGTCGTCGCTGCCGCCGTTGCCGCCGATGTCATCATCGTCGTCGTCGTCGTCATCGTCGTCGTCGTCGTCGTCGTCTCCCTTCAGGGTTGGCGGCGCCGGCCGCAAGGCCTTCGCAGTGTCCTTTCGAGTGGATTGGGTCTATGCCTCTCCCGCCCTCCTCGGGGCCCCTGCCGCGCGGCAGGTCCTAAAGGGGTGATAGGCTGCGGCTGCATCCACACGTACACCACGCGAAATGGTTAAGAAATCATGGGTTGAGAAATTCATGATCTCAGAACTTGAATAAAAACCCAACATTTCTATCAAAATCTTAGGATTTACATTGAAACGTTAAGAACAATCGAGACTCTGGCCGAAAACTTAAGTTTTCTCAAGCATCGCCTAAGGTGTAGGAGATAAGGGGCCGAGGCCTCTGGGGCCCAGCGCTGTGAGGGCACATGGCGTCGCGCACTGTGCCAGAGGACGGGGCGCAAGGAGGGAGCACCCTCCTGTCGAGGTCTTTTCCTGCTCAGTCTCTCTCCACCTCCTCAGGATCCTCCTCCACCGGCACCTCCTCCTGCTAACCCCCAAGAATCCCAAGGAGGTTCCTCCCGAGAGGCCTCCGCGGAGGTTCCCAGGGGGCCACGAGGCCCTAGTCCACAGCACACCCAGAAACCTCTCACCCATCGATCCTCAATCCTCCCCCTGGCCCCTCTACCCAGGGAGGGGGGGACCAAAGGCAGGGCAAGATTGGGCAGTATCGGATCGGAAAACGGATCGGTGTGTCGGATCGGGCCGCTTCGGCACGGAGTCGGAATCGGATTGGATCGGCCGCGCCAGGACGCTAAGCACCGCACGTGCAGGCATCCGGTCGCATCGGATCGCTCCAGCATTGCAATCGGCTCGCATCGGGCTGGCCGACATAGACACACCGAACGAGATCGGAATCCGAGCTCGAAGGACTCGGATCGACCCTGGCGGGGCCATGACGAACACGACGAACACAAATCGAAATTCGGCGCGAACTCCCGCTGCGAATCCCACGGAAAAACTGGACCCGTCAGAGTGCAGGACGGGACGGTCCAAAAGCGTCGGCGAACCCGAAGCCCGTCCGAACTCGAGTCTTGCGCCTGCCCGACCCGGGCAGGGGGAGGACGGCCGCCTGCTCCAGCAGCGCCCTGCCCGCGTCGAAGTCCACATCCGCGCGGTCGTCGCCGGAGGAGCTCCAGCACGCCAGCAGGGCCTCCCGACCGGGAATTCAGCCTCGCCCTCCCGCGGCCTCGCCGCCCGTGAGCCCCTCCATGTTCACTCCTCCTCCTCCTCCTCCTCCTCCTCCTCCTCCTCCTCCTCCTCCTCCTCCTCCTCCCCCTCCTCCCCCTCCTCCCCCTCCTCCTCCTCTTCCTCCTCCTCCTCCTCCTCCTCCTCCTCCTCCTACCAACCCAACCGTCCCCCCCCCTCTCCGCCTTCCTCTGCGCAGATCGCTGAGCTCCGCCTTGAGCGCATCAGCTTGGGCCCACTCTTGAGCACATGAGCGATCGGAGCTCAGTTCCCCCGCCTCGGCCTGGCCCCCCCCGATTGCCCGCCTGACAAATGACCCCCAACTGTAAAACCGGCCATCGGAGCTGAATTCCCCCAGCTCGGCCCCCCAAATTGCCAACTTGACCAGGCCCCCCCCCCTACCCCACCCCCCCCGTCAATTGGGCACTCGGACCTCTCTGGCAGCCCGGATGCAATCCCTACATAGGCCATTTGACAGCGGGGCCCACTGTCCAATGCGCAAAAGCGGCCTCCCCCCCAGGCCTGGCTGGGCCTGCACACGGGGGATAGCGGATACCGCTCTGACCCAGCTCTCCGAGCGGCTGGCCATTTAGCAGCTTGGCCCCCCGAGCTGCGTCCATGGTCCAGGGGCCTCACGCAGGGCCTCCGAAGAGCCGCACAAGAGCATCCTGATAGCCCCTCACGCGCTTCGTGAAGGCAGTGGACCCCGAAAAGGGCCCCTTGCAGACTGGGGTAAATCGAACTTGACATCTTTCTGATTAGGCCTCCCAATGCTCGCAGGAGAGGGGTTCTGACCCATGGGCCGAGCGATCGCCTGTCCACTCGCAGGCGGAGTAAATGGAGGACATCGACAACGATGTGATGATCACATGTCATAACCAAGTTTGCACATCGGGATCTCATCAGCCACCCCTTTGAGCCTACGATACTGGGAGAACGCACTCTGGAACAGAAATGATAGAAAACAGCTGAACTCATAGTGTCCCCGTGTGATACTGACCCGGCAGACGGAACACCCAGGGACCGCACGGGACATTTGACAGCCACGCCACTCGGTCGCCATCTAAGACAGCCCCAACGTGGATCCACTCCCCACGAGGGAACCAATCGGCTACAGATGGGGCACAACTCGCTCCACTGCTCGCGCGCCTACCAGTGCCCTGCTGCACATGCGGCTGCCGATCCAGTCGCGATCCAGTCGCTGCTCCTACCGCCCTCGACTTCCCCACCCGACGCGCGCCTCGAGCCTCGCCACACGGTGAGCACTGCTGCGCATACGAGCCATGAGCAGCCGGGGTTCGTCGACCAACGATGCCTCTGCTGCACTGGCGCCACCAGGAGCCGCCCCCTCGGCCCCATGGCTTCCTCACCTCCGGTCTGACTCCGACCGCCTCCTGCGGCCAGGCCTGCCCAGCCGAGCGCTTCCGTGCGGCCCCCCCGCCGCGCAGCACCGCTGCCCAGGCGGCGATGCTGACACCACGACCGAGCGTGGCCCGCGGTGCAATTCTGGTGCGCGTGGCAGGAGATCTCTGCTCCGCTGCGGGCTGGGCTGGCACCCGTCCCGCTTGCAGACCGGCGGCGCTGCCCGATGCACGCCTCGCGCCCCTCTGCCCTGCCTTGTCCTCACGCGCCTCCTACCCTCGACCGCGCACGACACCATTCCGACGCTTCGCTCGCTTCCAACAGTCGGGGCACAAGGAGGAGGAGGAGGAGGACGAGGACGGGGCCCCAAAAGGTCCACTGAGGCCACCCCCACATAGCCCAGAGGCCTTCGGAGGCCAATTCGAGCCGAGAGCGCCCCAAAGTAAGCCTCAAATCCCAAACCTCGAGGAGCCGGAAAGAATGCGGGGGAGGAGGAAGATGATGACGCGCCCTCGCAATACCTGATCAAGGATGCAGGACGGAAAAAAGGAAACCCAAAAATATCGATCCCGCTACTCCCCGGACCCCTCCCGGGGTGCGTTCTGACCAGGATTCCGAGAGGAATCCAGCAGTGGCGACGAGGGCCTCCCAGGAGGCCCAAAAAAGGGAAAGCGGCCGAAGGCTGGCGGTATGAGTACGTTTTCCTTCTCCTCTGAGGAAGAGGAGGGAGGATAGAAGCCTGATAGATGGGCTCGGACTAGACTGCGTCGGAGGATCGGGCCGCATCGCCGATTCATCGGCGATGCATCGTCGATGCATCGGTGAGGCACCGGAGATGCATCGCCGACGCCGGCGATGCATCGGCGACGCCGACGTGAAGAACGTCGGGCCCCACAGCGAGCCGCATCGTCGATGCCTCGGCGATCGGCGCGATCCCCCGACCCCATCTGCTCGGGCCCCATCTTGGAGGCCCGGAGAGGAGGCGGGAGGAAGGCAGAGGCGCGAGTGGACCCCGGGCGCCCCCCCCCGCTGCCCCCCCCTCGCAGTGTCCCGCAGGGTGCCCGTCTCCGTGCCCCCGGCCCCCCTTCCAGCCCTCCTGCTCGGCGGCGGCGCGAAGCTCGCGTGCTCCCTCGCCAGACACCTGAGGGAACGACGACGGCGATGGGGATGGGGAGGAGGACGGGGAGGAGCACGAGGAGTACGAGGACGAAGCGTGGGCACTCGAAAGCGTGCACGGGGCTACGCCCGATCTGTGCTCGCCGTTCGGGCTGGCTGTGGGGCCCGCGAGGAGACGGGGCGCGCGCGATCACTGAATCACATTACGGCGCGGCTGGCACAGCAGCGTGAAGCAGAAGGCCGCCAGGCAGACTGGGATCGCTGCACGAGCCTGACACCCGAGGACCACATGCGGTTATGAGGAACATCCTGGAGGCCTCGCGCGGCAACTAGAGATCGATTTACGTCGGATCTACGTCGGATTTACGTCGGGTTCACGTCGGATTTACGTCGGATTCACGTCGGACTGACTCCTGAGCATCGCCGCGCGAGCGTCGACCCATAGCTTACGGACCTGACAAGTGGACTAGATCATACAACTATTACGCGCCGCGCGAGGCCTCCATGATTTCCCTCATAAATGAGGGCCGCGAGACGTCAAGCCACACGTGCCACGCAACACCAAGCAGCATCACATCGGGAAACGTGCTCGCATCGGAGGGCGCATCGAAACGGCCGCATCGGCACGGCGGCGGACTCGAGCCGGAGAGGCCGCGCCGAGACGCGCAGCAACGATCGGATCGAAATGGGCCCTGCAATTTCTGCTAGGGGGGGGAACTCTGCCCACATCCATCGCCCTGGGGACCGAGTGCCGGGGACCCCCAGGGGGGCGGTGGATGTGGACATATCTGGGCCACCCTACACATCGGTCGGAAGAAGTAGATGAAAACATAAAGTAGAAAGGCGGAAAAATACATTGGGTTCAGGACCTCCCAGATAATACAGCGAACACACAGCAAAAGCAGATCGACTCTTGAAGTAGGAGGGCGCTCGAAGTAGATTGGAACCTGGACATCCAAAAATACCTACTTTCAACGACCAGCGTGTAAATACATCCATCCGCCTGTCGAGGTACCCGAAAATCGCTCCCCCCGGCGGCGTTTATGGACACAATCCCGTTCGGCCTCCGGGGGCCCTTACTGGGTCCCGGGACCGTCAAAAAACAGATCAGGATGAAAAACTGGCCCCGGGGAAAGAGTCGAGATCTCTGGGGGTCGACGTGTTGAAAACGTCGGGGGTCTGGGCACCGAGGTGAGGGCTGACGAGCTGGGACGGAGGATCGCGCCTCCTCGCCCACGCCTCACCTCTTCATCGGCGACGTCGGCGATGCATCGGTGACTTCGGCAGGGAGAGGGCCGGGCTCCGCATCGAGCCGCATCGGCGATGCATCGGCAATGCGGCGCGATACCACGACCCATCTGCTCGAAACTCATCTGCGGGCGCCACCCCTTTTCGGGGATGGACAGAACCCCCTTTAGTAAAACGTGGTTCAGTGAAAACGACCTCGGGCCCAACCCTGACGAGCGCAAGCCTGGAAAATGACGGCCGCGGCGCCCTCTCGAGCACCGAAAACGGACAATTCACTAATCGACGTGTCAGGGAGGAGATTCTGTCCACCCCCGACCTTCGTGCGCGCCGCCAGATCGGAGAGGCCTGAAACCCCAGACCCAGACGCCCTGATTCTGGTCGCGGCATCGGCCTTGCAAAGAGGTCTCGATTCCTTCTCCGGGGCCCCGGGAGGCCAAAAACTTCAGAAAGACCTCCGGTCGCGATTTGCTTCATGACCCGAACGGGCCTGGGGCCCTTGGGGAAACCGAGAGGTACCGACCCCGCTAACACCCCGACATCGGATCAGCCCGTTCCGAGGGGAGTGGGCACAAGGAAGAATGACAAAGGCTGCTCTCCTGACGTCATTCGTGTCGACTCACGTGTAGTTTCGCCAGCTAGAAGTGAAACACCCCCTCAAGATGATGGTAACAATACGGTGAAGGAGATGTGACTCAGAATTCCAGGGAAACCAAACAGGAACCGATTTCGCTGCTCCCTGGACCTCTCCCAGGGTGCGTTCTGACCAGAATTTCGAGGCGAATCCAGCAGTGGCGATGAGGGCTCCCAGCAAGAGATCCCAGAATCGAATAGACAAGTCGGATCGGTGATCGAAATGAATCGGATCGAGTCGGGAAAAATCGAATCGGCGAAAATCGGCGGGCTTGTCGGCCTGCACTGCGAAATCGGAACCCAAATGGGAACCCGAAAAAGGATTCGCCTCGGAATCGGATGCCATCAAGATCGGATCGGATCGAATCGGAGGCCCAAACAGACGAAACCGAGCGAAGGGTAGCGGTATAGGTACTGTAGTAGTGGGAACAACTGGTTTTCAAAATGTTTGGTCTTTAGAAGCTCTGCGTGGCGACGCCCCCGTCGCCACGCGTGCCCTCTGCGTGCCTGCGGGGGCGCCGCCACGTAGAAGCACTGGCGACCGAGCATTTCGGGCGTCGCTACGCACGCCCTCCGCGTGGCTGCGACCACTTGCTAAAACCCTCAAAACCAACTAAATTCACCGATAAAGTAACTCCTCCACCTCCGAACCCCTGAGGCCTCTCCTCGCCCCGTCGGCGTCCACAGGTCAGCAACCGCGAGAGAGGCGGCGGGTCGACCCGAGCCATGATGGGCCCCCCTCCCCGCGCGCCGAGCTCGCCTCGCGCAGCGTCTGCAGCAGCGCCTCCTCGCGGCCCACGGGCGGGGGCGAGCGGGGGCAGGAGGCCGCAAGGAAGGAGCAGAGAACTACAGTTGAGTCGGGCCTGTCCCCCTACAGGGGGATTTTCGACGAAAAATAAAACATACCCCCAAATTAATAAAAAAAACATAAATAGTCTGGGGGCTATGTTTTGAATATGTTTGTTGACCTTTTCTGGGTATTTTGAGGGTATTTTTGATTTTTCGTAGAAAATCCCCCTGTAGGGGGACACGCCCGACATAAGCATAGGAATGTAGATGGCATGGGGCGCTGCACACAGGACACACGGGTACCCTTGATTCGGCAGGGCCGACCTACCAATCGAGCTCGACGATAGCTGGGCGCTGCTCAGAATGCGGGGGCCAGCCCAACAAGGGGGGGCGAAGAACCCTGCACCTCGGGCGCAACTGTTGTGGCCCTGGAGGGGCCCCTTTAGGGCCACGGGGTACACGAATGGTGCACCTATCTTCCCAGACAATCGACGTCCTGACATGTTTCTAATCCCACCAGCCCTTTGGGCGTGAGTGGTTTAGAGAGCCCGCTCTGTCCTCAACCCCCCTTCTTCCCCTTCGGGGAGGGGTTTACCCCTCCCCCTACCCCCTCCCCCTGGGCCTGGAGAGGGCGCCCCGCGGGTCGTCAGGGGGGTCCATTTCGACTCCTGGGAGGGCTAAAAAACGACGACCCTCACGAGGATTCTGGCCCCGACGGGGGGACGGAGATAAGTCCCTCTCCTCTTCTTTGAAGCCAAAATCATTGATTTTACTACGGTTTTGGCCCCATGTTGGCCTCCTGAGGGGGCCGCGCTCATCTTCCTTCATAGCAAAATCATTGATTTTACGAAGGTTTTGGGCTCATTTTGTCCTTCTCAGGAGGCAGCGCTTATTTGCGCTTCTGAGGAGGTCGCAAGAGGCCCCAAGATGGCCCCAAGAGGCCCCCAGGAGCCTCCCAAGAGGCCTCCAAGAGGCCCCCCAGAGGCCCCCAAGAGGCCCCCAAGAGGCCCCCAAGAGGCCCCCAAGAGGAGAGCCCCCAAGAGGCCCCAAGAGGCCCCCAAGAGGCCCCCAAGAGGCCCCCAAGAGGCCCCAAGAGGCTCCAAGAGGCCCCCAAGAGGCCCCACGAGGAGCCCGAACGACTCACACCAGGACGAGGGGCCCGAACGACTCACACCACGAAGAGCCCGAAGGACTCACACCACAAGGAGGGGCCCGAACGACTCACACCAGGACAAGCCCGAACGACTCACACCAGGAGGAGGAGCCCGAACGACTCACACCAGGACGAAGGGCCCGAACAACTCACACCACGAGAAGCCCGAACGACTCACGCCGGGACGAAGAGCCCGAACGACTCAAACCACGACGAAGAGCCCGAACGACTCACACCAGGAAGAAGGGCCCGAACGACTCACACCAGGACGAGAGGCCCGGAGATATGCGGGGGCAGGCGAAAACACGCCTGAAAAACACGACTGTCGGCATGCTTCGCAAGAGTTGCTGTTTTGAGATGGGCTGGTGGGGATACGCGAAGCGTGAAGAATACCCAGTCCCCGGAAGTCTGGCCCTTTCCCAAGGGCCAAACTTTCATCCTGAGCCGTTTGTTGACAGTCCCTTAGCCCAGTGAGGGCTCTGAGAGGCCGAAAACTACAAACAAACGCCCGTTCTGTTTGTTTGTCACAGCGCGAGCGTGTCTAGGTTCACACCCTCGTGGATCGCCCCCCCGTCATGTGGCATCTTTGGTTGAGCTCGTCTGTCCTATCGCGCCAACCATCCGTGTCGCATCCATGCCGAATCCGCGTCGAACACGTCGAACCCGTGTCACATCCGTGTCGGATCCGTGTCGAATCCATGCCAAATCCGCGTCGAGTCAGCATCGAGCTCACGTCGGGCGCAGGAAAATGTAAAAATTGTTGGGGCCGACGAGGTCCCCCGAAGATGCAACGTAACCCCCGCGTCACAACGCCCAATCTTCTCGGGGGCGTCCAAGAGGGGGGCGTCCGAGAGGGGGGGGGCGCAAATGATGGCCGGCGGCATTTGCGCGGCCCAGGGGGGGGGGGCCCAGGGACGTATTGTAATGAGAAGAAGTTGGGCGCCCGAGTTATCCGGGGTAACTCGGGCCCGGGGTAACTCGGGCTTGGATTCCCGAAAAACGAACCCGAGTTAGCCCTGACCCAAGTTACCCTTGATGATTCGGGGCTCTGAAGAAGCGCCATGAAATCTGGGGAGATATCATGGCCCCGCCATTATATCCATCCCAGAACTAATGGAGGAGGAGCCGGCCCCCGTGGGAGCGGTCGAGGGTCTCGGGGGGGGGGGGGGGCACTCGTCGAACAGACCAATTCGATGCGCGGGATGAACCTGAAGGGGACCTCCTCCTCGATCCTCCTCCTGATCCTCCTCGATCCACCTCGATCCTCTTCGATCCTCCTCGATCCTCCTCGATCCTCCTCCTCGATCCTCCTCCTCCTCGATTCTCCTCCTCCTCCTCCTCCTCCTCCTCGATCCTGCTCCTCGACAGCCGCCCCGCGGAGCGGCGGGGCGGTGGTGGTGAGGACAGGGGCATCGCGGCGGTCTGTGGCCCGAGCTCGGCGAGGCGGGCCCTGGCCCCCGAGGAGCCCGCGCGAGCGCAAGCCTCTCACCCGACCGCCGCTTCCCCCCCCCCAGCCCCACCAGAGGAAGAAGAAAAAAAGCGCCATGAGCAGAAAGCTGGCCATCGCTCGGAAGTCCATCCCCTGTGCTTTTTTCGGCTTCGTGCGTGGTTTCTTCGCTGGATGGTCCAGGATGCTCCTCGAAGGTCCACGCCGGAAGAAAAATGCACACGTCCGAGCGATGCCAAGCCCATCCCCGCTAGGAGAAGAACAAGCGCCACAAGCAGAACCTGTTTTGGCGCTCCGCGCGGACTTGTCCTTGGCTCTGCGCCGGGCCCCTCCCAGGCGCGCGCTGGAGCGCGCTCCAGGGGCGGCGCCGCAGGGCGCCGCCCTCGGGGGGGCCCAGCACGGATGTTCAGGAAATGCGCGCGTCGCGCCCCACGAGTTTATTGCAGGGGCCCTGGGACGCACAAATGAATACACACAAACAAAAAGGATCCCCATATTTGCCAATATGTTCTCGGTTGTTGTCTTCCCGCCCAATTCCCATATTTTCCATATTTTCTTCAATTGTGTCTGTGTGTGTTTTTCCCTCCTGATTTATGTTCATGGCGTTGTTTCTTCGTCGACCCACATGAAACAAAAGGCGGGGCTCCCTGCCGTGCGACAGGGGATGCCCCAGGCACACAGGAGGGTCGGAGTGGCGGGAAGAACTGCTGCAGCGCAAGAGCAAGCGCAGGCCACGCCGCCGCAAACGAAGAGGGGGCACACCAAGCCGCTTGTAGCAATGTTGGAGGCCTGGAGATGGGCACCAACACCAACACAGAGGGGCTGCCTCCACAGGGGGAAGATGATCCGAGATTTCGGTGTTGGTGGTAATAGTTCGGTCGCCTTTGAGGCCAGCATATTACCACCATCACCGAGATCGGGATCCTCTTCCCGCGGTGGAAGAACACCTCCGATATTGGTGTTTGTGTCAACCTCTAGGCCTGCGAAATGACGACAATACCAGGCAATTGATAGTGCTGCAGCCAGGCCGAGAGTCTAGTAGCAAGAGCTGCAAGTGCAACGCCCTTTGCCCAATCAGCAGATCGACGATACCGTTTGACTGAGAAGGTACTGCACGCCAGCGCATAAACGAAAACCGTTCCGAGGACGGCGGTTGCCAAGGCGACACTAACAAAGTCCCATGGTCGCTCGATGGCAGCAACTATTGATGACAGGAGGTCCTCCTCGTCGCTGACATTATTACATCCACTCTCGAAACAAAATGTGATATAGCACAACGCATCGAACAGGGTATCCCCGAATCTGATCAGAGAGGGCCGCAAACGAGATCGAAAACGCAGGGCACCATCATCTTGAACCAAGAAGATACCTCGAGCATCAGGCATGCTAGTGCAAGCTGGCCTCGAGGGGGCGCTTGACGCCATACGTGCAATTCAAGCACAAGACTAGACATTGAAACGAAGTGCTCGACTACACACGCAAGTGCCAATTCCAATCCAAACCCAGCCGTCCGCTATGAGCACCTGCGTATCACATTGCAGACGGGCCCGCGGCTGCCGACACCACGTTGACCGTAGTGCGAGAGGCTATCTGGCGCGGCTAGGTCTGAAGAGACATCTGGGTGAGGACGAGGATTCTGACCCTGCCCCCCTAAGAGGCCTCCTGGATGGGGTCCGGGTAGACGAGGTCGGGTAGACGAGGTCGGAGGATTTCGCCGCATCGCCGATGCATCGGGGATGCATCGCCGATGCATCGGCGATGCATCATCCATGCACTGGCGACGTCGGCGATGCATCGGCGACGCCGGCGTGGAGAAAAGTTGGCCCCGCATCGAGCCGCATCGCCGATGCATCGCCGACGCATCGCCGATGCTGCGCGATCCTCCGACCCCATCTACTCCGACCCCATCTAGGAGGCCTATACCCCCCCCTCTGGTCCTCCGCAACCGCCGCAGGCAGCGGCGGCATGGCCAGCGAGCGCAAGGCGTCGACGGCGCGGAGCCGCTCGCCATGGCTCTCGCCAGCCTGCCGCCCCCCCCGCCCCGCCCCTCCCTGATGCAGGGTGGCGCTCCTTGGCGGCGAGCTCGGGGGCCTGCCGCCGATCTATCGGCGATGTAAAGGGCAGTTTTTAATACATCAGATGTTTAAACACATATGATTGTTTATACATGATTAGGTTATGGAAAAATGTATGCATCAACTCATCGTTGTTTTCGAAACTAAATCCCTGCATGTGTAATACATGATCCGCACGCGGAGCATGTATTAAAAAACGGCACTGTACAGTGGAGGCCAGCCCACAAGACACCCCCCCCCTCCCATTGCCACTCGGAGGGAGGCTCGCCCAAGAGCACCCCCCCTCCCATTGCCACTCGGAGGGAGGGCTCGCCCAAGAGGTGGGGTGAGGGCGGGAGCGCAGCTGGCTGCTCGCATTTCGTTGGGCCCGAGACCTGTTTACGGCGGTGCCCCTCGATCGGCGGCCGGCACAAGGGGGGGCCCTGGGAGAGGGGGCAAGCCTTGTCAGAAGGCGGCGGAGCTTCTTCTCCCAGAAGGCCTCAGGCCTTCTGAGAAGCTGTCTCTGTCTTTGGAGAATGCTCAGGCAACTTCTCAGAACACCGGAGGCCTTCCGAGCCTTCTGAGAAGGCCCGCTCCCTCTGACTCTCCCCCTGGGCTCGCCGCCAAGATCAGGAAGGCAAACAGTTCAGGCGAAACCAGAAGGTATCGATACCGCTACTCCCCGGACCTCTCCCGGGTGCGTTCTGACCAAAATTTCGAGGCGAACCCAGCGGTGGCGACGAGGGCCTCCCAGTCCCAGGAGGCCAACAAAAAGGCAAAAGAGGGGGGGAACGGCCGAAGGGTAGCGGTATGCGTAGCTTTTCCTCCTCTATGCTTCCGGCCCTGAGAATTGGCATGCAACCACGCCGCCCGAAGTCCGCCGAGTGCATCGCTGCCCTGCCCTTTCGATCCCAGGGCACTGAAGGGGCCCAGGGACACACAACTAAATATACACAAATAAAACCTATCCCCATATTTTCCTATATTTTCTGGGTTTTTGTCTTCCCCCCCACTTCCCATAGTTTCCCATATTTGCTGGGGAATAATCGACGATTCATTGTGTCCGTGTGTGTTCTTTCCCTCCTGGGGCACGGCGTCGTGCTGCCGCTTCTGCCTCCCCTCGGGCCACCGGCGGGCACACGAGCCCAAAAGACCGCCGGAGTCGACGCGCCAGAGCTCGACCCTCGTCTGGGCGAGCGCGGGCGAGCGCGCTCCACTGCTCGCAAAGCAGCTGCTCGCAAATGTCCTGGATCTGCCACGAGAGGTTCACGATTGATTTTCGTACAGGAAGGCCTGCTTCTGCTCGGACTTTTACGAGTCGGCACATTTGAAGGGGCCCTGGGACACACAAATAAATACACACAAATAGAAAGATTCCCCCTATTTTCCCATATTTTCTGGGTTTCTGCCTTGCCCCCCACTTCCCAGATTCTCCCATATCTTCCTGAGAGTGGACGATTCATTGTGTCTGTGTGTTCCTTCCCCTCCTGAACATTGCGAATCGTGGAACGCGCTCGGTGATCGTCGGGCGAGGGGGAGAGGGCGCACCGGCCGGGCACGCCCGAGCAAAAGCTCCGGCATGCCCGGGAGCCGGCGGGCACGGAGAGGAGACGCGCGGGGCGCCGCAGCCGCCCCGGAGGCGCCCCGCAGGCCGCCCCCGCGGGACGGGGAACTGACCACAGCCACCGCTTCCTGCTTGCGCCGCCTTCCAGCCCGCCGAAGAAGAAGCAGCGGTTGTGGTCGTTTCCCTGGTGCCGAGCTCCACGAAAACGACCACAACCACTGCCGTGCTGCTGCGGGCTGGGAGGCGGCAGCACAAGAGAAGCAGCGGCTGGTGGTCGCTTTCACGCCCCGCAGTCCCCGAGCGCCCCAGAACGCTCGGAGTTTCTGCTTCGGCAAGGGGCTCCCAACGCCAGCGCCGAAGCGAGAGCTCCGCGCGGGCCTCCGAGAGCTCATGCTGCTGGTGCGAGTTGCCACGCAGCGATGAGCGCTTCGAGATCTGCCGGGAGGGCTCTGGACTGCCCTGCCCGCCCCCCTGAGGGAGGTGAGGCGACATGCGGGGGACTGGCTCACGGGGGGGGGGGAGGAGCACATGACCCAGAATCGCTGATAGGCCCCCGTCGAAAGGGAAACAACTGCGCAAACAGAAAGTGTCGACGCTTTTCTTGGATCTGCGCCGGACCCCCTCCCCCTAGCGCGCGGAGCGCGCCAGGGGCGGCGCCGGAGGCGCCGCCAGGGGGGCCCAGCGCAGATCCAAGAAATCCGCGCGGGGCGTCGAAAGATTATGTCTGTGCCGTGCTTCCTCCCTCCACCCCGAGGGGGAGTGTGCAACTTCCTGGGCAAGTCGGGGCACCCATTGGCCCACTCGGCGAGGCATGGGCGACGGTGGGGCGACGCTCCCCCCCCCCTGAATCGAACAGGGGGCCACATGCGAACCCTACCCCTACCTCCCACGATTTCTGAGGGGGAGGGCGGGGTTCACTTCGCTCGGGAGCTCCCGAACGAAGTGAACCCCACCCTCCCCCTCAGAAATCGTGGGAGGTAGGGGTAGGGTTCGCATGTGGCCCGCTATCGAAGGACAGCCACTTGAGACAACAGTAGCTCACCCGCCCGGCACAAGTCCGCGCAGAATAGATACATGGACCCCCCCCAGAGTGAATGCCGACCCACAGAGGAAGAAAATGGTACCCATGCCGCTACCCTTTGCCCGTTTTCACCCCTTTCTTCGGCCTCCTGGCAGGCCCTCGTCGTCACCGCTGGATTCGCCTCGAAATTCTGGTCAGAACGCGCCCCCGGAGAGGTCCGGGGAGTAGCGCTATCAGTACGTTCTGGTCTCCCCGGACCCGTCTTTCGGGGCGGATCCAGCCGCGGCGGCGAGGAGGCCTCGAGACAGAATTCATGTTGTCCTGGCGGCGGACCCCGCCGCAGGCAGGCGCGGGCACCGCAAGGCAGGGGGACGAAGGAAGGGGAACTCCCCATCTCAAGGGGCCCCAGGACACACAAATGAATACACACAAATCCCAGAAATCACCAGATTTTTCTATATTTACTGGATTATCGTCTTCCCTCCCCCTTTCCATATTTTCCCATATCTTCCAGGGGATCGACGATGAGTTGTGTCTGTGTTTTTTTTCCCCCTCCTGACGATCGGGGCCCAAAAACGTGCAAAGGGGGTGTCCGCCTGGGGAGGTGCCGCCCTGTGGGCGCTGGGCACTGGCGCGAACTCGGCAGAGCTCCCTGTGGCCCACGGGGGGGGCCGCGGAACGCGCGATGGGGCGCTCCGAAGTGGAGAGCGGCGCCGCTGTGCGAACCCTGCCGCTGGGGCCTCCGGTGGGTTTCCACATGGCCTGCAGCAGGGGCCCGGCCACAAGGAACCCAACCCTGAGACCCCAGGGCATCATCTGATTTTTGGTGCGTGAGCGTCGCGCTCCTCATCGCAGAGCCATCGAGAGTCAAGAAACCCGGGACACCCTGAAAGCAAGCAGGGTGTTTCTTGGCATGGGCCTCCACTGTATGGGGCCACGCAACGTGTGAGGAGTGTGCCAGACTGGGGCGGCGCCGCCATGCAAATCCTGCAACTGGGGCTTGAGGTAGAGCTCCCAGGGGGGCCACGACAAATGTGAGGGGTCTGCAGAGATGGGCGCGGGGACGCCATGCGAACCCTGGCTCTGAGGCCTAGTTGGAGCTCCCTGCGGGGCCACGAGAACGTGTGAGGGGTATGCCGAAATACTAGGCGGAAACTCATGCGAACACAAGAATGTGGGCCTTCGCTGGAGCTCCCTATGGGACCACGTAACGTGTGAGGGGTGCGCCGAAATGAACAGTGGGACCTCATGTGAATCCAACCATGTGGGCCGTAGTTGGAACTCTCTATGGGGCCTCAAAACGTGTGAGGGGTGTGCCGAAATGCGAGGCGGAAGTGCCAACACTGCGATTTGGGCCGTCGGTGGAGCTCCCCCATGGGGCCATGAAGCGTGTGAGGGGAGCGCCGACATGAACAGCGGGACCTCATGCGAATCCAAGAGCTTGTTTTTTTTTTATTGGGGGGGGTAACGCCCGTTACGGGGGGGGGGGTCCGGCCCCAACTTGGGGGTAACGGTAACGCGCGGCGGGGCCCTCGCGCGGGCCCTGGTACTTATTACCACCACAACTGTCGGCACGGTAGGCTTCGTTGTCGTCGTCGTCGTCGTCGCCGCTGTCGTCGTCGTCGAAGCCGACCGTGCCTGTGCACACTACACAGGCTCTGTACACCGCGATGCCTTTGTACACCACAACTGCGGCGGAAATGGTATGTGTGTGCACCACGGCGACTGAGCACATCATGACAGGCGGGTGCACCACAGCGCCCTTGTACATCTCACTGTTGGTGCACACCACGGCGCCCGCGTGCACCACAGCTGCTGTTTCAACGCCCCGTGTTTGCACCAGAATGCCAGCGCACACCACAAAGCTTGTGTACACCTGTAAGGTACCGGCGGAGCGAAAGTCCAGAAAATCGTTCGGGGCCCAACCGTGGCCCTTTTCATTATGTGAGCTGCTTGTGGATCTTAACTTTTCTTGTTCAAAAAGCGCTCGGACCTGTTGGGCCCACAGCGCCTGTGCACTCCATTGCGACTGTGTACATCATGGGAGTGTGAACCGTGGCGCCTGTGTATACCACATGGCATGTGTGCACCACAAAGCTCGTGCACGGCGTTTTTTGTGCGGAGTGTAAACCACGCACCGCGGGGGCGCGCGGAGCGGCGGCACACTAGGAATACAGGAAGCATGAGCTCCCTGCACAAGCACAAGGCCCTTGAGACATGGGTCGACGGCTGGAGCGTGCACGCGGGTGCGTCGTCGTCGTCGCCGTCAGTTGCGACGGCGCCCGGGGGGGCGACGGCGGCGGCGGCGGCGACACGGTAGGCGACGGCGACCACGACGACGACGACGGCGGCGGCGACGGCGACGACGCCGACGGCGGCAAGCGGCGGCGGCGGCGGTGAAGGTGCCCGCCGCCGCCGTCACCGCCGTCGTCGTCGCCGCCGATGCCGCCGTCGCCGTCGCCGCCGCCGCCGCCGTGTCCGCAGCCAGTTGCCGAAAGCTTCAGCAGCGTTTGGGGCCCACTTGCTGGATACACATGCGGGGGGCTGGCGTGACCAGCCGCGCGAGGTAGGAGGGCCGAGCGCTGGAAGGACATGCGGCCACATCCGCGTGCAGGTCTCGCCCAGTCCAGCCCCTTGCACCAGCACTGGGAGAATAGAGGGAGGACAGTGGTAGTAGTCATCATGCTATTGTGAGAATGCACCGGCTGGTTGCGCCATGGCTTGCCCGATGCGTTACACCACACGTTGTGCTTGCGTACAATTACCTGCGCCATAGGTTGAGCCGTAAGCTGCGCCATAGGATGCGCCCCCAAGGCGTGCCATAGCTTGCGCAATAGGTTACGCACCCAGGGCGCCCCACAAATCCCGCCTTACGTTGCGCCTTAGGTTGCGCCCTCAGGGCGTGCCATAGGTTGCGTCGATGGTTGCGCCATAGGTTGCGCCAAAGGCGGGGCCACTTTGTGGCGCTGCGTTTCAACGGAACTCCTGGTGCGCGCACTGTTCGGGGAAACGTCGTGCTGGCAGGCGGGCGTCGGGACTCCGGGTGCAGCCGGCAGGATAATGACTCCTCCTCCTCCTCCTCTTCTGCCCCCTCCTCCTCCTCACGCCCCTCCTCCGATCCACCATCACCTCCTCCTCCGATCCTGTTCCAACCCTCCTCGTCCTCCTTGTCCTCCTCATCCTCCTCCTCCTCCTCCTCCTCCTCCTCCTCCTCCTCCCTCTGCCTCGCTCCCCCCTCCCCCCAGGAGGTGACACATGTGAGCGTCACAGCATGCCTGCCTGGACGGAGGGGGGGTCCGCACCCCCGTCCCCTGTACGCTCGTTACCGTTACGGGGGGGGGGGGAACCCCCCCTGTAACGGGCGTTACGGGTCCGAGCAATAAAAAAACAAGCTCCAAGCATTTGGGCCTTAGTTGGAGCTCCCCCTATGGTGCCACGAAGCGTGTAAGGAGTGTGCCGAAATGCGAACCTCGGCATTTTGGCCCTAGGTGGAGCTCCCCATGGGGCCGCGAAGCGTGTGAAAGGTGTGCCGAAATGATAAGCGGGAGATCATGCGAACCCTGGCATTTGAGCCTTCGGTGAAGCTCGCTATGGGGCCACGAAGCGTGCGAGGGGTGTGCTGAAATGAACAGCGGGACCTCATGCATACCCCTGCATTTGGGCATTGATTGGAACTCTCAAGCTGTGGTGCCACGAACCGTGCGAGGGTGTGCCGAAATAGTACAAGGGAAGTCGCGAGAATCCTGGCATCTGGGCCTTCGCCCGAACCCCCAGTGGGGCCACGAAACGTGTGAGGGGTGTGCCGATATGGGAGGCGGGAACTCACACGAACCCTTGAATTTGGTTAGTTGGAACTCCCTGATTCTGGGTCCACGGGACGTTTCAGGGTCGTGCCGGAATGAGGTGGATATCGCACGATCCCTGGCATTTGGGCCTTCGGTGGGGCTCTCTATGGGGCCACGAAACGTATGAAGGGTGTGCTGACATGAGAAGTGGGAACGCGTGCGGAACCAGACACTGAGCCTTCGTTGAAGCTCCCCATGTGGCCACGAAACGTTCGAGGGGTGTGCCGAAATGCGAGGTGGGAACTCATACGAACCCTGGCATTTCGGGCCTCAGCCGGAGCTCCCTAAATTGTACGTGTGAGGTGCGAGCCGATATGAGGGGCGGGGACACTTGGGCCTTCGCTGGAGCTCAATGTGGGGCCACTGCACGTGCGAAGGATGTGCCGA